ATGGCAGCTCCCCGCTTATGCAAATGAAGCCCGGGAAATTCAAATCCCGGGCTTCATTTGCAAGTGCGGTATGCCTACATTACCCCGCTAGTTCGAACTAGTGGGGTAGTGTAGACATACCCTGAGTGTCCAGGGGAGCTAGGGTGGATACTTCAAGATGTTAAGAGGGCTCTTCGATTGGGGTTGCTAGTCACTAACCTGTAGAGAAGTGGTTTTTATGCAAATGAAGCCCGGGAAATTCAAATCCCGGGCTTCATTTGCAAGTGCGGTATGCCTACATTACCCCGCTAGTTCGAACTAGTGGGGTAGTGTAGACATACCCTGAGTGTCCAGGGGAGCTAGGGTGGATACTTCAAGATGTTAAGAGGGCTCTTCGATTGGGGTTGCTAGTCACTAACCTGTAGAGAAGTGGTTTTCAAACTACATGTCATGGGTCGTGGAATGTCAAGCACTGGGTCTCGTTGCTGTAGGGGAATCAGGTGACCAGTGGGAGTGCTAAGGCAGGTTACCTGCCTGTCCTGGCACCAAAGACTGTGCTGTGCCCCAGAAACGGCTGGTAACAGGCCCAGATCGTAGGTGCAGGTGGGGGACAGAGCGCACAGGGATCTGTGCAATACATCTGCTCTGAGCACTAGCTCTGTACTCCCATTGGTGGAAACCTGCTGCTGACAGCTTCTGGAGTGCAGCATGGTCTGTGGTACCTGGAGAGGAAAAAAGCCTGCCTTAGCACCCCTGCTGCACCACTGACTGGGAGCCGCTCAAGGTAAGTCCCTTCTGCCACAGCCCTGATCACCCCCAAAGCCAGAGTTCCCTCCTACATCCCAAAGCTCTCATCTTCAGCACCACCCTGCAGCTCACACTCTAGACAAATTATGTTGGCCCATGAGCATCAACAATGTTCAACTGGGTTATCAAAAAAAAAAAGTTTGAAATCTACTGCTGTAGAGTAGCAGCTAGGCTTGTGAGGTCTCTGTTGCCTGTGGAGTTGGGGAATTGATTTCCAGCAGGAACAAACAAGGCTTTCTTACCTGAAGGTAACGAGGTAGCGAGGTGCCTCACAATCCTGGGCACCCTGGGGAACATCAAAGTCAGTTTTATCACTAGATCACCTGTAAAGCCTGCTCTTGCAAGGTACTGATCACTGTAACTTTGATCTGTCAAAACATTTGGGCACATGAATAGCCTCGCTGAACTCACTGGAACTCCTCATATGCTTAGTTAAGTATTTTGCATGATTGAATCCTGTGACATTGCTGGAGCTCTTCCCTGCTATCCCATACCACTGATCACTCTCCCTCTCCCTGACACCCACACACTGACAGAAAATAGACAGGCAGAGGTACAGAGTCATTGTTAAGGTCCAGAGAAATACTGCAAAGTCAAACAATTCATTAAAAAGCAACTTTGACATTTTGAAAAATGAATAAAGTTCATTGATTAGATTTTGCTGTTTTATCTGTGAGATCTGCATCCTTCAAATGTCAAAAACATTAGGCAGGATTCCCAAAAACCAACAGGAAAAAATAACTGGCGAGTTTCACCATTTCCTCTTCCTTGGATACTCATTCTCCCACAGAATTGGGGAAGTTTCTTTAGTGCTGGACAGAGTTACGTGTGTTTGGATTTCTTCAGCCCCTTATGTTACTGACTTTCTGCATTTTTAAAATATTCACTTGCTGTGTTCATGTAGAGAGAGAAAAGAGTGAGAAAAATTAGAGCAGAGGCAAGTGCATGAAGTGTGAAATATACTCCCCTGCAATTTTGCAGATAGACAAATAAATGAACTGTTGCTGCAAATGAGTCACTTTACTATGTACATTCATCACAATATATGATTTATATTTTACATGAGCAATGCACTTTTTAAAATGCAGTTCTGTAAGGGAAAAGTCATCCTCCACACATGCTAACACTCTCCCCCACAGGTCCAATTCTCTCCCACAGTCATTTCTCTTGAACTCAGTAGGAGTTACTCATCTCCTGCAGAGGATAATCAATCTACAGTACAATGCTTTACAAAAAAAAAAAAAAAAAAAAAAAAAGCTATTGTAGACCATGAGCCCACAATTATAGCTGCGTGGGCAGATCCTTGTAACCACATCAAGATCTCTGGAAGCCCAGATTCTGTGCCAATGCACAGGTCAATCCATGTGATTCCAACTGGAAGATCAGGACTAGAAATACTGTTTTAGTGATGTAGATTGTCATCATAGGGCCTGATTCAAACTTCACTGCAGTCAACTGGATTCTTTCTAGATAATTCCCTCAACTTTGGATCAGGCCAGAAGCCCTGGGCCCAGTGATTCAAAGCAGCTCAGGGTTCCTGGCCTCCACCACTGCTACTGAGGCAACAGTGGTGACCGGAACCCTGATCCCTTTGAATTGCTGCCTGCACACTGTGCCACATGCTCCATGTGGCTCTGAGAGCTGGGGTGGGAGCATGCCTTTTGCAGGGCAATGTCCCCAGCTCTGCCCCTTTGAGGTCCTTGCCCCTTTGAGGTCCTTGTCAGCTCTCCTGCCCACATCTGAATGTCTACCTGCAATTTAGCTGACCTGAGCCCTTAAGAGTCAGTGCTGCAGGTTTATCACCATATAGACCAGGGATGTGCAATAATCTTTGATGGGGCGAGAAACACCAAGAATTTGGAAAGTGGTCAAGGGCCTCACTCTTCCATATCAATGGAGGAGGAGTGGGGTCTGGGATGGAGGTCGAGTGCAGAAGGGAGCTTGCAGAAAGGGACTGGAGTGCAGGAGAGAGTGTTGGATTTAGAAGGGAGTTTGGCTGAAGAAGGCAGTTGTGACCTGGAGCAGGGGACTAGAGTGCAGGGGTTTGGGTTGTGACCTGGGGCAGCAGATTGGTGTGCAGGATCTGAGAGGGGATATGGGTGCAGGGGGAGGGGGCAGAGGGTTTGGGTTACATGGGGTGGGAAGCAAAGCATTGGGGTGCCAGAGGCAGGCTCTGGCTGGGAGACTTACATGCTTGACTCCCAGCCAGGAACCTTCTTAAGCAAACTCTCTGCCTTCCCTGCCCCCATACTGACTGCAGGGGACATGTGGTTTTTGAACAACTAGGAGCTGGGGTGGGGGGAGACGGGGTGCTTAGCAAACTATCTGTTGACAACAGGCAGCTCCTATTGTCTTGAAACCGGCCAATGGGATTTTGCTGGGGGCGGGAGCAGTGTGTGAAGGCTCACAGCTGTTCAAACAAAGCCCCACATGGCGAACAGGCAGGAAGTCTGCCTAGGGCTCCCTGCTACGTCTGTGGGCCAGATCCAGCAGCTTGGCAGGCCAGATACAGTATATCCCACAGAGGTATTTTGCCCAGGCCTAATATAGACATAAACCATGTAAGCTCAAACCTGGCATCATTCACCAACAGAAGTTAGTCCACTAAAAAGCACAACCTCACTTGCCTCATCTCCTTATTACTCCAGCACATTCCATATGTATATATAAAATGAGTGAAATTTCCTTTTTTGATTTGTAAGCAACATTTTAAAGATGAGCTCTTGCATTAGCAGTACAACTCCTTTATTCTTAACTCACTGTATTTGCACATTCCAGAGACAAGTAAAATGCAAAATAAGTAAATTAATTAAAACAGCATAGCTTCAAAGGCACTCAAATCTTTAATATATTGATCGTGTTTTGTGAAAATCTGCATAACACACACAAAAAATGACTTCCTGACTGAATATCGGGCTTTATTCTGAGGAGAGCCTGCCTGCATGATTAATAAACTACAAGACTTCAAGTAGTTTATCAATGCTAACAGAATAACTTGATTAAATTAAAGCTTTTGTGTGCATTTAGAATCTGAAACCATGGGTTTGTCTCTTAGTTTTAAATATAATTTAGTATTGATTCAGGAACAAAAGTAGAGCTAGAGGCTGAGTTTCATGCACTGCCCATAAGATGAAACTTAGGACAAAGAGGTTTAGGGGAAAATGTTGCTTTTCATTTCTCAAAGATCTCTAATGCACCTTTGACACAACCTACTCCATTGATTTACTGTACTCAGATGTAGTGATAGGGTGACCAGACAGCACGTGTGAAAACTCAGAACGGGGTGGGCAGCAATAAACACCTATATGAGACAACCCTCCCCCCACCAGGTACTGGAATTGTCCCTAAAAATCGGAACATCTGATTACCTTATGCAGTGGAGAGTGGGGGCTGATCTTCAGTCACTCAGTCCTGGTATAAATGATAGCTGCAGTAGAACAACTTTAAAGCCACTGGCCTAAAGTCCTTGAGTTACCTTACAAAAGTAGAAAATTGAGAATAGATGAGCACTGTTCTCCTCAGCCCTCTTTCCTGCCTGTTCCCAAAATGCCTATGACATGTCTACAACTCCTGATGTCAGAGAAGGATGCACACCTGGAACAGAAGGTGGTGGCTGGCTGTCTTAAACAGATATCAATAAGTTGGCTGAGAGTTTCCTTGTGTTGACCATTTACAGTTGCTTTACAGCTTCTTACACCATGAAGTGATATTACTGGACTGGAGAATCCAGCCTGTGATTTCAATGGAAATTGGACTGGAGCTGTTTTGCACTAGTTCTTCACTCAGGGTATGGCTAGACTACAAGTTTTTGTCGGAAAAAGGAACGCAAAATGCGCTATGCATTTTACGTACCTTTTTCCAATTCTTTTGTCAGAAGAGGCTTTTCCGACATTTGGCCCATCTTGACTGGGACAAATGTCGGAAAAAACCCTCTTTCGGAAGCCCCCTTCTTCCTCATATAACGAGGAATGCAGGGGCTTCCGAAAGAGTGCGTTTGCTCTTCCACAAAAAAAGGGGAAGAGCAAACGTGTTCCCTGGACATGGTGGAGTTTTTTCAGTATGCTTCCAGTATTCTGAAAACCCTTCGCAGTTTAGCCGTATCCCTAGACCTTTCATGAATGTCAGCAGCCTGTCCTCAGAACCAGCCTAGAATATGCAGAATTATTCTTCCTTCTACTCTTAGGATTTTGCTTTCAGCTTCTCTTCCTAAAATCATTGGTTAGTGTTCATGACATTGGAGGGAGATTTTTCTTTTTTGCCTCTGTATGACAAATTGAAAAACTTATTTCATTGTATTAGATTTGAGGTGAGAGGAAATGTCTGCAAGGTGCTGGCTGATTGGATGTAGTGAAAGCTCCTGGATATACGGGGAGAATGTATGCTGTTAGTGAGCCTGAGAAGGAGAAGGTTTAGTGCAGCTGTTACACAAGATGAAAAGAAAATGTTAGAATGGGTGTAATATGGAAGCACAGAAGCAAAGATTTCCTGGGACTGCTCCATTATTACTGTTTGGCCTGAATGTCGGTTTAGTCAGTCAAGGTAGGGTCACTCCAGTATAAAGAGATTCTGTGGTTGCAAAGAGATGACACTTATGCCACATCTGCTTCCTGCTTCCAGCCTTGCAAGAAGAAGGCATAGTCTGAAGACAACAGGCATGGTTGGGCTGTATCATACCACTCCTTGGCTCCATTTTCAGCCTCTGGTACCCATCAACTAGCTTGGGAGCTCTGAAGTTCCACACAGTTGTCTGAACAATGGAAATTATCTCCCAGAAGATGACACCTTCCAATCTGCCCCACTAACTGTCCAAGTCAGGGTTCCATTCAGTCCTGAAGTTCCTGATATACTTCCCTGTTGTCCTAGGGATTGTGAGTAGAGTGATGCAAATGCAAAGATTGCAAAGGGACAATCCCTCAATTAACAAATATTTATTGTTCCTATCTTTTCTGACATGAAATCCTTGGTAAATGCACAATTGAGGCTACAGGCTGCTAATCTCCTGCTGTCAGACTGCAAAAAAATGTAACCAATAAATAATACAACAGCATACCCATTGTATGGGTGAAGTTGGAAATAAGATGACACACCTGGTTTAGTCCGTTTTAGTAATAAATTAACTGTCTTTTTCTCAGCTAATATAACTGCTCTCATTACTGGAAACATTCTGCAGTAATAATTTATCCATGATTCCTGTCTCATTATAGATGTAGAATTATATTTCTAAATGAAAAACCCTAATGTTCACCATGGATATATAACTGAAATATAATGTTGAACTTTTTTATTCATACTATGAGGGAGACTTCGGCAGTTAAGAATGACAAGTATATCTTGACATGTATATCTTATTCCTATTGACACTGTTTTTTCAAAGTGGACCATCTCCTGACTTAATTTAACTTTTAATGTTCCAGCTCCATTGTTCACAATATTTCAGTGTTCCAGGCATAAATTCATCTGATTTTTTTGCACTTGAAAAAGGCAAACATTCAGTCTTGGTTACACTGAACTGAAACAAATTTGAGATTACGGGACATCTGAACAGCTACAATGATGACAATACAGCAGTATTAATAAAAATAGTAATCCAACATACTATGTATGTATTCAGAAAACATAGTCTCAGAGGGGTAGCCATGTTAGTCTGTATCTGTAAAAACAATGAGGAGTCCTGTGGCACCTTAGGCCTTATTTACACTAGGTCCCTGAATCCAAAATTAGTCCCCCAAGGCCAAATTTGTAAGTGAGGCGTCCACACTACCAAGCCCATTATTCTGGAGAAAGGGGCCATGGAATTTGAACTCTGTAGTCCTGCTTTTCATGAGAAATAATGTTATTCCTGAATTTGTACATCTGAAATAATATTAGTGTTGACATTCCAGTGCTGCTAATTTTAACTAATTTGACTCCAGGAGGCCTCCTGCAGCTCCCCAGAGTGCATCCTGGGACTCTGAGTCCAAGGTAGCATGTCCACATTAAAGAGCTGTCTTGGACTACATTCGATTCTTCCCGTAGTGAGGACATGAAACTTCGAATTTTGTAAAATCAAGTGTTCAGAAGTTGAACTTAGTATATTTGAAATAATTTCCTAGTGTAGACATGGCCTTAGAGATGTATGAGGCATAAGCTTTTGTGGGCAAAACCCATTTCATCAGATTAATTGGAGTGGTGTTTACAGAGGCATGTGTGTGTGTGTGTGTGTGTATAAAATAAAGAGGGTACTTGTATAAATGAGGCTAATCAAGTCAGGTTGGAAGTGGATCATAAAACATAATTAATACAATATTCAGCTTGAGAACCTAGCACTCCTATGTAAGGAAATTTAGTATTAAGACTGAAAGAAAAATCTGAATGACAAAAGCTTGAGCTTAGTTTTACGGTATAGTCCCTCCTTATACCAGTAAAATTATTTGAGCACTAATTAATACACAGTATAATGCAAGGTACTTTTCACTTAGGCAACCTTTTTATATAGCACAGTGCCAGCTGTTACTGAAAAACTTCAACAGCAGAAGATATTATGCAACAGTACTTTGAAAATATAATGTAAAAATGCAATCCAGACTTGGCACTTATTAGTTGTCTGTCTGCTGTTTTGGAAACCAAGACACAAGATTATGGTTCCAGACAGTTTGTTTACAAGATAGTGAGAGATCTTTATAGCTTTTAATTCCCTTTATAGTTAAGCCATCCAATTCTTTTATGTGTATTTGGTTCACTTCATAAGCATAAGTGCATTTGATATTGTGAAAATGTACTGCAAACATCTTACTTCAGATCTAACAGGGAGTATCTTCTGTTCTTATTCAGTTCTGGGTATCTTCTGTTCTTATTCAAATGTCTGTAATCTGTAACCACTGTGATGTGCTTTGCTTCACAGATTTGTTCTGTTTTCCATGAGTATCCCGTTTTTTGGGTTATTTCTTAAATATTTTTTTTAAGAACATAAGAATGGTCCCACTGAGGGTATGTCTACACTACAGACAACATCTGAGTTACGTCCACACTGAAATCACGTTCTTCCGAAAGTAAATCAAAAGAACAGAGGGGGTTATCTGGCATTAGTAATCCTCTTTCTACAAGGAAAAGCCTTTTTTCCAAAAGAGCTCTTTCGGAAAAAGGCGTGTGTGGATGTGGAAGAGGGGTTTGTTTGTTTTTTCAAAAGAAGAGTCCCCCAGGAAATAACACAGGTGCCCTGGTGGACACTCTGTCCAAATTAATTAGCACTCTATAGTTCCTGTCTTCTGGCCCCTCTTAAAGCTGCAGGAACCCTGGACAAGCCTTGTGGCAGGAAACCGGCCTGAGAGCAGCACCTCACCATGTGGCTCTATCTTGCCACTCATGGCCCAGCCTCAAGCCCCCTGCTACCTCCTGGCCCTCCCGAAGAGCAGCTCCAGGGGTCCCAGAACCCACCCAGGGGGACCAAGAGCCAGAACCCTCCTGGTCTGGAGCAGAGATCCTATCCCTCCTCAAGCTGTGAGGCGAGGAGGAGACATTGCAGGATCTCTGCTATAAGCGCCACAACACTGAGATAATCGAGTGCATGGCCGAGACCCTGGCGGAGTGTGGACACCCACCCCGGACCCTGGAACAGGTCTGGAGTAAGGTGAAAGAGTTCCGCCAGGGATATGTCCAGGCCAGAGAGTGTAGCTTGCGCTCAGGGTCAGGACCCCACTCCTGCCCCACCTTCGATGAGCTGTACCAGATCCTGGGGGGTAGGGAAACATCTTCCCTACCCATCATGGTGGACTCCAGCCTCGAGACCCCCCGTCATCACCTTGCTGGAGGTCAAGGCGGAGGAGGAGCAGGAAAACCAGAGCCAGCTGGAGGAGGAGGAGGAGACGGACATTGTCACCCTGTCTCTGGAGCTGGCACCTGTGAGCCAGGACGTCTTCCAGGCCTTGTCGGACGCTGGGGAGGGACCTTCAGATGAGTGGTCTTAATTTGTTACATACACAGGGTGGGGGAGGCTGGCTCACAGGGGTCGGGGTGCAAGTGTCATTTGGGCTGCTTGGTCTGGACATCGTGCTGCAGTCCACGCACACGGAACCATGTGCAGCATTAGTGTGAGGCACACGGATGCAGCAGGCAGCTCCTAAGCACAGGTGGGATCCTGCTGCCAGGGGAGGCCACACACATCCTGCCACGGGGGGTGGGGGGCAGAGGGAAGCACAATCCCCCAGGGATAGGGCTTCCCCCACCCTCAGGCCATTCATGTACCCCCCTTCCCTTTTCCCTAGGGTCCCCCTTTCCAGTACTCGCCCTCCCCCCAACAGCAATTGCAGCCCGAGAGTGCCTTACCTCCATGGTGGGGGGCAGAGGGAAGCACAATCCCCCAGGGATAGGGCTTCCCCCACCCTCAGGCCATTCATGTACCCCCCTTCCCTTTTCCCTAGGGTCCCCCTTTCCACACGCACACGGAACCATGTGCAGCATTAGTGTGAGGCACACGGATGCAGCAGGCAGCCCCTAAGC